GAAACATGCAAGTGATACGTGAAACAGATAGGCACCTGGATGTGTAACATTCAGTGTTTCACCCCACCCCACCCACACCCTCGCTGCTAGCGCACAGCCGGGGTGTGGAGCTTCCAAATGAGGTACTGTTTGCGTGAAACAGAGAAAAACAAAAAAATGCCGGAAAAAAAACAAAAACATATTTAAACTAATTCTGAAGCCCTTGCAAAGCTTGGCATCAGCTACTATAGAAGCCTAAGTAATTACTATTACCAATATTATTCCTCAGGGTTCAGTATGGTAATTATGCCATAACGGAGCCCAAAACCCTACTCTAGTTGTTAAGGCCCCTACATTACTCCTCGCCATGTTCCACAGAACGGCTGAACGCGTGTTTTTCTACATATGTATATGCCCCCAATGTAAATATGTAGTTTGCATTGTTAAACAAACTGTACATGTCTACGCATGTATGTGGCATCTCATGCAACATGCAACCAGCCTCGCACATCCAATTTTCTACTTATCAAGGACCGCCGGCAGCGGCAGCAGGTTTTACGAAGCCAAGTTGTGTCAACTTCAGTATTTCCCCGACCCTAAAGCCTAAAGCCGAAACAGCTGACTCCTACACCCCAAACCCCCAAACTTTATAACCTTCTCGGGGATGGGCTCCAGAGTTCGCGGCATGGGAGTTCAATTTGGCTTCCCTGAGCCGTTGCATCCCAAACCCCTGCAATAATTGAAATTCAAACTTTGTAGGTAGGATACAGTTTCTCATAGCCTACTCAAACTCCCCTCACTTTCTAATCGTTTTACTGAAGCCATAGAACACCGTCAAGAGAACTCAATCCCCTAACCCCTACCTGAACCCATAAAACCTGGCTCTTCCAGGTTCTTAGTCATGACTTCCATATGAATATAGGTCCTCAAAAAGGTACACGTTGTTTGGTTGCTATAGTCCCAAAGGGTCCTATGCACCTATATAGTAGAATGTAGGGTTTCCATAAGGAATTGCTACAGTATTATACTTCAAGGAAGCATCCCCCACAACAGTACACGGGACCCTTTGGGAGTGTTATGGTAGTAACCGAGTAACGTAGGAGCCTAAATAATTACCTATACTGTTTTGGGGGTTCCTTATCATACGGTAGTATACCCCAAAACCCTACTCTAATTATTAATGCCCTTACACCCTATACCCTTTTTGTAGACCTTATAGAACACTTTAAGGAACCCTTTAAAGGAGCCCCAAAACCCAATTCTAGTTATTAAGGCCCCCTTAGATTAACCGACTTTGGGCAGGGCCTCCCCTCTTTGGCTGCGAGCCCGGCGTGGGGCCGAAGGGCCCGGTTTAGGGTTTAGGGGTTTAGGGTTTAGGGTTTAGGGTTTAGGGGTTTAGGGTTTAGGGTTTAGGGCCCGGTTTAGGGTTTAGGGGTTTAGGGTTTAGGGCCCGGTTTAGGGTGTAGGGGTT